TTAGAAGGATTCTTATTATATGAATATTTTTGAATAATTTGTATTTTTCAATTATTTTTGAAATTAACGATTTTTATATTATTACTGTAACAGTACTATATTGTTATAGGACTGTCTCATACTAAATAGACATAATATTTATTAGTAATAGTGAGAGTCTATCTATGAGATAGAAGAAAATACACTATGTGGTGATCTTGAAATATACTTATTACGATGAGATTGAGTAATCATAAAAATAGCATCATTAGATATTGGTTGAACACCTACATCATGATAATATCTACTAGGAGTCTGATCATGACAATGTATAAGTAAATAAATAAATAAATAAATAAGTAAACAAATAAGTGATATTGAACTAATAGAATTAATAAACTAATAAATATGAATTTATATATTAGCTGAATTATAGTTTGAATATTGTCACTATTTGATATTTTGATTACATATAAAATATCATATGATATAATTTTGATAATTATTTATATTTTTTTTTATATTTTTCTATTTATAATTCTATTTTTAATTATTTAATTTATCTAATTTACATATTCTTTATCAAAAATTCTTTTTAATATCACATTATTTATTTTATTTTAACATTATTGAATCTAAATTCATTTTATTTTAAATTAATTTCATTAAACATTAATTAATGTAGCGCTAATATCACTCTAATTTTAATTGTATTACTTAGATTAAATTAGTATTATACTTATTATTTCTTGACATTACACTTCTTCCAAATTTATTTTATAATTGTTTTTAAGTAATATTACTTATAATGTAGATTTGTATTACATTTACATGTATTTAAACAGATATAATTTAATATAGAATAACAAGTATCTCAGTAATAATTTTGAAAGTAATAAAAGTATAGAAGTTAACTAATACTTCTAATTAATCTTTTACTTATTGTTATCTTTGATTTATTATTTACTTAACTTTGACTTATTCAACTAGTAGAAGTTATCTTTTGTATTTTAATAAATCATTCATACTTTTAAATTATAAAATACTTATTCAACTAGTGGAAATATTAGAATCTATTTCTTTTTAATACTCTCTTCCAACTATCTAGTATCCAACTCTCTCAAGTACACATAGTCACTATTATCACTTTTATATAATTTTTAATTAATTACTATAATTAGTTAATATCTTATCTATTAATATAAGAATGATAACAATATATATAAAAGTAATATATATATATTATAGTTATTAAAATTAAATTAAAAATAAGTTTTTAATAATAATAATTCTCAATTATTATTTTATAACTAGTTATTACATACTTTTAATTGTTCATATATATTAGATTTGAATTTTATATAGAATAGATAATCAAATGCAAAATTCTCTCTATATCTTTTTGACAAAGTATATTCTTGTTTCTTATATAATTACTTTAATATCTTTGCTATAAGTATTATCACCATTTGATATTTTAGATCACATGTAAAATATCATGTGACATATTTTGATAATCATTTATATTTCCTTTTTATATTTTTATAATTTTATTTTTAATTAATTATTAATTATTTAATTTATCTAATTTACACATAATTTATCAAAAACACCAATCAATTCTTTTTAATATTACTTAATTTATTTTATTATAATTCATTTTATTTTGTTTAACATTAAGTAATGTAGTACTAATGTCACTCTAATTTTAATTATATCGCTTAGATTAAATTAGTATTACACTTATCATTTCTTGACATTACACTTATTCCAAATTTATCTTATAACTGTTTTTAAGTAACTTCACCCATAATGTAGATCCATATTATATTTACATGTATTTAAACAGATGTAATTTAATATAGAATAATAGATATCTTAGTACTTTTTGAAAAGTAATAAAAGTATAGAAGTTAACTGATATTTCTAATTAATCTTTTACTTATTATTATCTTTGATTTATTATTTACTTAACTTTGACTTACACAACTAGTATAAGTTATCTTTTGTATCTTAATAAATTATTCAGTAGTATAATTATAGTCTATACAGACTATAATTATATCACTTAGTTCGGACTATAACCATCCCAGGTATGTGTTGTGATGACAGAAACGTGACACCATCATAAGTGTTGTGACGACAGAAACACGACACTGTCATCAGTGTTATGATATATATTTTATGACACATTTTTAATGATAGAAATGCGACACCGTCGTCAGTGTCGTGATATATATTTTATAACACATTTTTGATGACAGAAATATGATATCATCGTCAGTGTCATCCGATTTTCATTGCTGAGCTAATGATACATTCAGTCATGTGTCATCATTTGCAGACCCAGTGTGAGAGCTATGCCTGAACTAGACACATAGTGCTCTAGCTTTCTGGTTAATTCCTCGATGAGAGCCAGGTTTGAGGCATGCAGTACTGAAATAGTATTCTTTGTATGATGCATTCAAATATCGATCGAGGATGAGGCACATAGTACCAAATTGTTAATATATCTGGTAAAACACTAAAGCATCCGATGATGAGACATGTAGTGCTGAATTTGTTATCCTTACTTGGTGACCCACCAAAGCATAATTTTATTATATATATATCTGTAATAATTTTATCTTGGTGTTCCACTTTTTTTACTCAAAAATAATACTTATTTGGTGCTCATCAAAGCACAATTTTATATATCTTTTATCTGTAATAATTATTCCTTGGTGACCCATCAATTTTTTAAAATGCTATTCCTATTGGCACAATTTTATATACCCTTGATAATATATATATGAAAACATATCTGAAAACATATCATTGAAAGAGTATTCTTCTGCCATTTTTCTTATAATATGTTACCGCACTTGAATACCCTTGATAACATATACGCAAAAACATATTTATTATACAATATATATCGCAGTTAAATACTCAAAGTATTCACTAATCGAGATTGCGATTCTCTTTACATCCCACTAAAACTCTATGTATTTTTTTGATATCATTGCATATCAACCAAAAAAATAATTTAAACTTTTCCAAACTATTTTGTAATAATATAATCGAACAAAGATTGATATATACCAATAAAAAAACCAAATACCAAAAATGAGTAAACAAAGCGCACAAGTGATTTGGTACAGGGACAGGGAAAGTGATAACTATTCAAGTGACTCAGATGTCTATAGTGATAATATATCTGAAAGTGGGTCAGAAAATTGCAGTGACTATGGTTTCAACTATGAGTCAGATACTGAAACTACTATTAAGTCTTCAATATCCCAACCCCCTAAAGTAGAAGAACAAATATCTAATACGACATCTTTCACAGAGCAAGTGCATCCCACATGTTCTAAAAGACAAGAAAAGTTCAACGATAAATTTATACAAAAAGATGTGATGAATAAAATCCGTAAAATCATTTTTTCACCTGTCAGAGATATGTCGAACAATAAAGAATTATTAGAAGATATACATTTATGGGATTATCTTTTATCTAATAATGAAGCAAAAGAAGGAATCAGTCTGCTCGATGCATATACACGGAAGGAGTTAACCAATAAATTAATTATCAAAATTGACCAAAAAGATAAACAAGCACCAAAGTTTTCTGTCATAGATGACATATCTGAAATGTATAGATTACCTGGAATTCATGAATGTATTGATAGGTAACAGTCTTTAAGAGCTGTAATTGATATTGACGCATCTAAAAAATGTTAATACTAAAAATGTGTTTTTCAGCATTTGTTGTTTGTAAGAGCATTGTATTGAATTCTTGATTGTAATCGGGAAGAAATTATTAAAGAATTAGTAATTATGATATCATCTAATGATAATAAATGCAGTTACCACCTTCTATATGCTTCAACTTTACTTATTGATTATCTAGAGCTAAAAGAATTTACAGAATTAGTATATAGGTTAATTGGAGAAAAATATAGAAATTTTATTGATCAAAGATTACCTGGTAGAAATTTTAATCTTCGCCTTATCAGTTTTACAAAAAAAGATCGCGTGAATCGCATTCTCCAATACTCACTAGATAATGAGTGGAACAATCTCAATGACATCAAAGTTCAACCACCAATTAATATGAATTTTGAAGTATGTCCTCGCATACTTAGTGTAGGGAAAATAAATCAGAAAAAAATAATCATTGGTCAAGATTCACTAAAAAAATATGCTAATTTAGTTCTGCAAAAATATTCTGATTATCTTGGAGAATGGGATATCGAAGAAAAAGATTCTCAGTATTTCGTATACTTTAATCGGAAAGCATATCTAGAATGTCCAATTTGTGAACGCACACATGACAAGGATTAGCGGTGGTTCAGTCACACGCGTTATGATGGTTCGTTCATTGTGAAATGCTTCCAGCAAAATAGAGATGAAAGAGGAGTAATTTTTAATGACCCATCTATTGCGGGAAAAATCCAACAAAAAAATAATAATACCCCCAACCATCCCAAAATAAAAGGCCCAAAGTTCCTGAAACCCTTTTTAGAAATGCCGAGTTGGGTTAAATGTGAATCTCCTCTTACCGCGACAGAAGTGTATGAGAAGCAATATGTAGAACCTTTACCTAAAGAAGGTGATGTATATGTAGGCTCACCTTGGGAGACAGGAAAAACTTATACTTTAGAGCATCTTACAATACCTGCTGACGTAAACTTACTTGTATTATCTACACGACACACTTATTCTAGTGCCATTACTACAAGGCTCAACCTCAAATCGTATACTGATATCGATGGTAATATTAACCTCCCAGACCATCAAAGAGTAGTGTGTCAAATAGAGAGTTTACATCGCATTATTAATAAATGTAGATGCGAGAAGAAATGTAAATGTTCTCCAATACCATATGATTTATGGCTTGATGAAATAGTATCTATAATTGCTCAAGTCCACACCCGTTTAGCAGGATGATCAAGAGAGGATTTATATAAATTAATTCAAGAGGTGAGGCGAATTATTGCTATGGATAATGATCTTACAGACCTTAATATCGAATGGATAAAAAACCTTCGCAGAAATAAACTCTTCTCAGTTATCCATAACATCTATCAACCCCAAAAAGGTAAAACATTTCGCTTGGCTTCTAATAAAGAAACTGTATTAGCTGAACTCTGGGAATGGGCTAAGCAAATGTCTTCATTACCTCCCAATGAACGAAAAAGTGCATCTCTTATCTGTCATCTCAGAAAGGATGTACAAGGGATTGTTCATGCTCTTAGAACTGATTTTCCTGAATTACGTATTAAAAATTATCATGGTAAGTCTGATCCAGCTGAAAAGGCTCAAGATTTTGGTAATGTTGATGAAACATGGAAAGAGGTGGACCTCGTTGCATATACTAGCACTTTAAAAATAGACGTTTCTTGTACTAACCACAAGTTTGAGCGGGCATTCTGTCTCTTTAACAGCTATATCGAAACAAATACTGGAACAAATCAAATGCTGTTCCGTATGAGATGTATCCAGGATTATGTGTGTTATATTGAGCAAAGAGCATCTAATGTCCCTATTACGGAAGAAGAGTTATTTAATTGGTTATTAAAAGCAAAACGAGAATTTCTACCTCCGGAGCTTCAGAATAGAGGAATATTCCCAGATGTAGAATCTATAATTCGAAATAAGGATATTCTAACAATTCGATTATGGGTGGCATATATATTGGAAAAATTCCGATTTCGTCGTTTATTTGGGTGGAGAATGGTAGATTTTCTTAAAAAGGCAGGTATGATAATTTCTATAATAAAATCACTCCAAAAGCTAAAGATGATACCGTGACATTGACTGAAACAGTAAAGGAGTATTCTTCAGCTATTAAAGCAGAGGAAATTTCAGACATTGCTAACGCCAATATTCTCAATCATGAGATGGCTGGACACCTAGAAAACAAGCCAAAGAAGACTTTAGAAGAAATATATGCGTTAAACCGGTATCATATTGCAGATTGCTATGGAGTATTACCTGAATCTATAACTGAAGAATTTATTATAGATTATGGTAAATATGATCATATGAAATGGTTCAGAAATCTCCGGAAACTATGAGATGCAGGTACTAATAATGAGACAGTGGTTGAGGCTATTATCCGTGAAGATTATAGGGATGATAGACTTACAACCGTTACCCAAGCTGAGAAGCATCGAATTTGTCTGGAATTACTAAAGACTTGTACACCCGTTAAAGATATTGATGATCGAAATAGATATAAAGTTATTGATGTCAAAACATGCTTAAACTCATCAGAATCGATACAATACCTCCAAAATTTAGTACCAAAAATGGCTCGGATTTTTGATAATACAGACGCATCTCGTAGTGCTAAAAAATCTGGCTTAAAATCGGATAAAGCAAAACTTGGTTTATTAAATTCAGCACTTTCTGCAATCTATGGGGTAAAGTTTAAAACTACTAATAATAAAAATACGCATTACCATCTAGTTGGAACATTTGACTATGAGGATGCTCCCAAATTACCACCATATCAAACAGATGAAGGGCAATTTTATGAAAATGGTGAGGATATGTGTTATGGGTATAGTAAACTCTCACCTGATGAATTAGAACCATCTTCTAATTGTATCTCACAAAATACTCAGAACTTATTCGATATCGTTTAAAACAAGTATTTATAATCCGTGGTATATTTTACAAAGGGGTTTTTTGTGACGCTTAAAATTGACACATGTAAAAAATCCATTACGAAGACCATTTTTGTGACGCTTAAAATTGATATCTATAGTTATATAGTGCCTACCTTCGGCAAAAGTGAGTATAATTACGCATCAGCTTCTATTCTCTGCGCCTTTTGTTTCTCATACCAATTTCGAAAATAAACCCTCTTTGTGTGCTTAGGACAATACCCCGTCCCAGAAATTGTTAGTTTTCCACAGATCCCACAAGGAAATTTTGCTATATTTGTATCATATAATTTCCAGTGCAATGAACACCCTATGTTCCGCCAACAATCTTTTCCACAAATCGAACCATCTCTTTTAACATATGGACAGGTTAAACGCCCCAAACTATCTTTTTTAACGTATAGATTGGCTGAACACCCCATTCAAAGTGTTTTAATACATAACGTATAAAACCCGTTTCACTTTTTATGCAAATATATTTAATATAAAACCAATTTAAATCTTTTCAGGTTATAATAATATATTATGTGTTGGAGATACTATTCGAAGTATTGCTTATAACCTCTCATATTCTATAAAACTCTGTATAAATACTAACATATTTTTTACTCACATTTTCATGTATAGTATATAAAAATCAATTTAAACTTTTCCAAATTATTTTGTAATATTTTAATTGAACATATATTGACACTATATACCACATCAATACTATACAAAAATGTATACTAAAGAGCCGGAATATAACAAAGAAACGATTACTGCTGAGCAATTATCCAAATTGACTAATCATTGGAGAAAGCCAAAAATCTATAACCCCAAAACAAATCGCATGATTACAATCAATAGACCAACATATGATAAATTGATACGTGATGGATATGTGCTTTGGGAAGAAGAAGGACTCTTGGTTCCTTCATCACCATTCGAGGAATATATTAGCGAAACAAGTACCAAAGGTGCTAAAAAATAAAAATAAAATACTGTAAAGCATTATCATAGCCTGGGCTCCTACCCCAAAGCTATAAAATTTTTTTCATTATATCCTATATATTGGTAACTTTCAAATCGACAGATCTGACCCAAGACATTGACGTGTATCATATACCTGGCATATATAGATTAAAACTTTCAATCTATTCCGTGTCTTATTTGCTCCATTTTCTGATAGAATCACAATAACCACGACCCATTCAACTTTTTGGATATAGCTATCCATGGATAATTAATTTTGATTTGACAAAATATATTTCATAGTTATAGTTCGCAAAATTATACTGTATTAACAATGTCAAAGATAGCTACAAATTTCGTAAATCAGTATAACTTAACTCTTCAGATGAGTATCACTAAGCTTGATAATTATGCTGAAAAAATATGTAAAGAATTAAAAGATTATAAAGCTCGTAATCACGCTCGAAATAGAATCCAGAAGTTAGGATTTAGCAAAGATCAAACATATGCCTTAATTCCTATCCAGGCTTCCGGAAGGTGTATTACAGGGCGAGATCCAATTAAAAAGCTCGCTCAATATATTAAGCAAAATGAAAACAACCTTGAACCCGAAGAGATAAATACGCTAGCATATAACTTAGCTAAAATAGCTCCTACCGTAATAGCCCAATCATCGCATCTTAAATTACTTCAAAAAGAATTACGCAATTTTAATGCTGATTATCTTACATTAGAAGCAATATATATCTGGTATTACTCAAAAATCAAATAAAGAACAAGCAATAAATCAGGAACTCCGTGAAGATGAGGAATTAAATTATTCCAAATTCTTTTATCTTGAAAATATTCAGGAAAGACTCAGTAAGTATGATATAACAAAATCACACTCTATGCAAAATTTAATAGACGTAATGATAATGTTATCTATGAGGCCAGCAGATGTTGCAAATCTTCGTATTGATTACTATAAACCATCTAATGTTGATTGATACAATTCTAAATATTCTTGGTACTGCACTAGTTATGCGAAAAATGCAAAAAATGAACCTAGATCATTAGTATCTATGGAGAAAGATCCACTACGGGCCAGGGAATTACTTATTTGGATCCAGAAAGCAATTCCTAATAAATTCCCATTTTTAATAAGAGATAAAGATGGTAATGTAAATGTTCACCCCATTAATAATTTCCTAGCTATTTATGGAATAAGCTCATCATATTTGAGAAAAATCAGATCCGATCATGTTATTAATATTCATGGAGATGAGAATGATTCCAAACGTAAACATCTCCATCAATTAGCATTAAGACACAAGATAATTATTATTGCATCAGATCATTATGGTGTGATGAATAACAGACCAAATATTCCAATGACTAGAGAAAAAAATACTGAGATATCAGATATTATAGATCTATACAATTACTAATCACGCTTCTTTGCTTCCATCACTTTCACAGTAAAATCTTTATCATCATTGCCGGAGGCAGTCACTTCGTGGCTAGACGATTCAAACTCAGATCCAGATTCAGATGTGGATAAGGACTCAGATGCAGTATCATTAAAAATTGGTTTTTTTTTAGCTTTGCACTTTCTTTTAGCCTTACATGAAATGTGCTGATGTCAAGAAATATCCAGGTCCGCTATTGAGTTTATAATATCTTGCTGAATCTCGGATTTCACTATCTCCAGTAATCGGTGAAGAGAGATCTGAATTTTTTTATTCGATACCTGTTTAGTAATATGGGATACAGCTTTATCAGCTTCGGTCATTGTAAATGTTAAATTATTTTATTAATACTAATTTAAAAGTGCATCTAAATTAATTATCCAAACATTAATTGTTTTTCTGATTAAAGATATATAATATATATTCTTGAGAATGGTGCAACTATTGCGGAGCAATGACCCAAAGGGTCTAAATATTTTTGATTTACCAGAATTACTAGAACAGATCTTATATTTTTTAGAAACTGATTGATTTCTCTATCCCGCTTTGTTTGTTAATCAGCTTTGGTGTGGTATACCGCTACTATAGAGGAGAGTTGAGTTAAAAGGTAATGATATTTATTACGGACATTATTTCCCAGTTGAATATAATTATTGTGAACGATATCGAACGCGGTTAGAAAGTTTCATAAAGCTGATATGCGAGGAGAAAAAATCTGTCTATGTCTCAAACCTGAAAAGCTTAAAAATTTCATATTATCACTCAATTACACATAAAATAATTAGATCCGTTGTAAATTACTGTCCGAATGTAATTCATTTAGATTTCAAAAGTCGTGTAGGCATTAGTGATAAGACATTAATTAAAATAGCTTCATCATATCCAAATTTAAAACATCTTAATTTATGGGATAATTGAATGATAACTGATAAAGGACTATGTCAAATTACACAATCATGCAATAAATTGGAATATCTAAATATTTCTTATTGTAATGGTATTACTGATGAATCATTAATAAAAATTGCAGAGTCATGCCATAATTTGAGAGAATTTTATTTTAATGAAGCGTATTGGATTACTGATAGAACTATAAGTTGTATTTTAAACTCATGCCCTAATTTACGATGCTTAGGTATACCGTCTAATCATGGAAAAATCAAAGATGCTAGTATATTAGTATAAACACATCTCAAATTAGAGTACCTTGATTTCGCCCGTGTTATGGCTTTTTGGGATGATTCTCTTATTGTAGCTATCATTAAATCTTCTCCAAATTTAAAACATTTTGATATTTCTTATAATGATATTGGTGATGAGGTTGTTGAGACACTAACTCACATATGCCATGAATTGGAATATCTTAATTTTGTAGGGTGTGGATTCATTACCAAACCATCAATATATAATATTATTCGATCTTGTCCTAAACTTCAGCATCTTGAACTTGGATTTTGTGACATTTCCGATACAACTATTAAAGAAATAGCTCATTCATGCCTCAATCTAAAATATCTTAGTTTGGAAGGTTGTGAAAATATTAGTGAAAAGATTATAAAACAACTTAATCCAAGTATACATATTGAAGATTATGATTCATCATATGAACGGTCTGATTCTGGATCATCCGATACTTCTGATTCTGACCCTGATGACGACACACAAAGTGAGAATACACCTCCACTTATTCCAGATCCATTAAGGATATCTCGAAGTGTTATCTTTACCGGTGGACCTAATAGAATGGTTTTAACCAATACATTAATTATAACAGATCTTATTTCTGCAATTAGAGTATCATCAGAATTGACTGATTCAGAACGAATTAATTTATTAAATAGTCTTGCTCGACCCTAAGGATGCTTGCCTAAATCCTTTCAGAAAAATATCGTCATAATTTCGACGGGTTATACACTAATTGTTAATTAGAATTTTGATATAATTTCGATTACGACGGGTTTCAAAATTCGTCAGAATTTCGACGGGTTATTTACTAATAGTTTATTATAATTTCGACAGAATTTAGACAGTCACTAAGAGATTTCGGCAAGCAACCTTACTCGACCCACCTTCTCGTGACTTTATTACTCGAAGCCAAAAAAATAATTAGCTATATATACATGTATATCTTTTTTCTGAGAGTCGAGGAAAAAAGGGTAAAAATCGATACTCATCCATTACAATATCAATCATCTCCTCCTGATCTGCTATTAATTCCTGAAAAAGCTGTTTATCTTCATCTGTAATTGGGAGGTGGATTTCTTCAGGGCTGAATTCTATATACTTGGAAATCTGATCACGTAATTCATAAGACATTTTTTGTTACTATGATACGTAATAAAAATATATTTAATTTATTTCGCTATATCACGTTACAATGAGCATCAAGGGAGCGATGTCATGTGTTTTTAATCTGCGAATCAGAGATCAGCATAGAAGTTTATCGAACGTGCCAATAGAAAGCTCCTGATGGATCGTGATCTCATATTTATCCGAAGTTAACTTACATTTTCATTGATTCTTATTGCTCTATGCTTTCACCGTTACTATTTGGATTGAATTTTGATAATTCTTATAACATTTGATATGATAAGTTTTTGTATTGACATAATCACCACTACCCCATAGACCCCGTATATTATCTCTTATATTTTCTTTTTTATGATCTTTATTGCATATAGGGCAGGATACTGAACTATTAAAATCAAAATAATCGAGATTTTTATAACCCTTTAGGGTTGTCCCTTCGGTCTTGCTATACTTCGAAGATAAATAAGGGAACTGCTCTAGCACTTTATTAATAACTAATTTTCGCTTCTCTTCTGGATTATCAGGTAAAATAGAGATTGGGGGTCGAGATTTATTTGATGCAGATGGTACGCTTGCTTGAGATGAATCCTTTAGAATTTGTGAGTCAGAGACTTGAGACTCTATCTCTTCAGTAGGTATACTTACCTCAGTTTCCGGTAAAGATTTGTTATCCTCACTTATCTTATCTTCCGAATTAGAGGTATGAGATAATGGAATAGAGAGAGTAGTTGTAGTGCTTACCTCGGTCTTTGTTGATTTCGATTCCTGATCGTTAACATTGTTAACGGTTTTCGGAGTCACATAATCTATGATATATCGAATTTGAGGATTAGTGAGTCTTGAAATGCTATTAGCACTACAAGTGACCTGATTAGCCATATTCCATCCTATCCCGTTAATCTTTTTCAAAGTTACAGGATCATATTCATATCCAAATAACTTATTGATTTTTCTTGCTTTACAAGTCATTACACGTAAATACCCATCAGAAACGCCTGAAAGGTATGGTCTCATTTCATTATAAACCCTGTTTCTTGCAGACTTATCTGTAAGATTTTTATTCTCAGATCTAAGTTCCACAGCCTTGTCTTCATATCTTTCAGAATAGCGTCCCCAAGATAAAATTTCTTCTCATTTTGCATTGATCGAATTTTTTCTTGCAGTACTTGCTTGATGAAATAAATGGGCGAGCTTCTGGAGACCTACTGATGCAGTTGTGAGATTGGAGAACTTTATAGATTCCCAAAGTTGTGTGTCGGATGAGGAGAATTCCTGTAACAAACCTTGTACGAATTCGCTTACTAAGGTTAAATCTTCAGTGGAATTCGTAATACTTTTCTGTACTTTCGCCTGCGAGATATTGTTAATGATTTCTGTATTATGTGATAATTTTGGCTGTGCCAGCTCCGCTGAACCTTGATCGTTAACAATGTTAACGGTTTTTATATCACAATCGATTTTATCGCATTGATCGTTACAAATGGAACTCGTAATATCTTTCTGGGCTTGCTCCTGCGGAATAGCTATCATCCCATGTGATAATTTTTCTGATTCGTTAACATTGTTAACGGTTTCTGTATCATGTGATGAGTTGGAAGTAACGTTCTGGGTGGCAGAAGTTTCTTCTCTTTATTGCATTGCCTTATCTCATTACCAACCTTTTTCTTATATTCCGAGTCCAAGAAAGCATCTGTCTCTATATTCTCCAGAGTCTTGGAATTGGCATTGATGTACTGGTTTATTACAGAGTCAGGTATAACAACAGCTTCTTCGAGAGTAATATCGCCACTTTCTCGCACATGCCCGAAATCCTGTTCTAATTTTGCAACTCTAGCTTTAAGTTCAGCATTCTCGGCATTACTATCTGTCCTATTTTTCTCCAACTCCTCGATTCTGCTCTTAAGTTCGGCATTCTCTTCCATAGCCTGCTTTAATTATGTATTCTCAGCCTTGACGTCAGCATTCTCCTTTCTAAGCTCAGCAATCGTGGCAATGAGTTTAGAATTTAATTCTTGCAACGAATCGATTTTGGATCGAGATTTAAGCTCTGATAACGATTATTAGCGTTAGTAACAGTGCAGATTATTCAAATTATGAGTTAATAAATATCACGTGCACGTTACGCAAAGAACTTAATTTCTCACGCGAGATAGAATTGTCTAGAAGGATCTACATGATACAATCTTGACACAATAAAATGTAGCGTGAGTACGTGAGTATTTCCAAATATCGCTTTGTTTATTACACCATGCACCCCAAGAAGTGGTTTAAAATGAAGAAAAGCAGAACTTCAGGTTGTAGCGCTTTTAGAATTTTTAATGCATTCAGGGTATTAACATTGCCAGCCCACTACAGCTAGTAAAAGCCCCCACACATCTGAAACTGAACCGTCCTATTCCGTTAGTAGTTCCATCAATGATTCCGTTACTGGTTCGTAGTTTTTCTTTATTTATACCACTAAAGTATATTAACATGTCGGCACCACCACCTCAGGCAAAATGTCGAGCATCTATGCAGAGCTAGCTCGCCTCAAGCTCAATACAGAGCAAAAGTCTGCCCTAATCTACTACCTCACTGAAAATGGCGAAGCTGAAGCTAAAGCGGAGAAAGCCTTCACTGCCTGCAACAATGATGAGGAGAAATATGCATATCTAAACTTAGTCTTGGGGGGTTGTATGTGTCTCGTAATTTCTAGTAATATTCTTTGTTCGTTTATACTAATGAAGTGTGTTAATGTGCTACCCTACCATAGTATCTGAAAAGTCTCGCTCAACTGAAATTGAATCGGTCAACCTCGTTACTGGTTCGTAGTTTCTAGTGTTATTATATTATAATGAAGGATGTTAATATTACCCATCTACCTATAGATGATAAAATATCTGAGCCTCATCTTGAAACAGAATTTGTTGAAAAACTAAAGATCGATACATTTGAAGAGCCTGTTTTCGGAAAATATGACCCTAAAGATGCAGATCTCGAAAAGTTTGCTCAAAAACTGCACCTCGACCAATTGCAAAAACACCGACCACCATTAACGGACAAGGACATAGAGAAATTTTACGGTGAATAAAAAATATGACCCTGCTTTATTGCGTCTTAATTCATATATCCTGTGTTATCACTTCGCAGAATTCGCCGGTCCTTATTTTACTTGGCCTTCTACAATGAAAACTTCCGAGAGGCGTCTTATCATTGATTATATTGTCGATCCTGAAGAAGGAGGAGAAGAGGAAGGGGAAGGAGAAGAACTTGCAAAAAACACTATTGCATATCATCGCTTATCCGAGGCTGGAAAGCTTGACCACTCTAAAGGTAGTCATGTCTTGATCATCGATGGAAAGTTAGTTCGCTATGGATCAGAATTATCAGGGGAGGAATACCGAAAACTTGCCCCGGGAGCGTTGTACGGCCCTATTGTCAGAGAGGTGGTCGGTGCAAAATTCTCTTCCATTGAAGATGGCACAAAACAGGAGTGGCAGGTTTGTGCTTACACAATTTCATGTACAGTAATTAAGGTTGCATCGTTGGAAACAGCTTTCGTTGAATATCAGGTGCACATGCGGATTCGAAACAAAGCCAACCCTAACATTAGTGCAACAATGGCAAATATTGAGCGAGATAACCGTAATCGCAATTTTCGGCTAGTACTTGATACTGGTGCATCTTACACAGTTATACCACCATTATTAAGGTCCAGGTTGCCGAAACGTCTCGGTTGGAGTAGGCTGAATTCAGATGCTACTGGCTACGGTGGCGGAAATACAATGAAGAAGGTTTCTGAGCCCTGGGAAGTCTCTTTGGGCAGAAGACAAATGGATAAATTTGGCTCAAAGTACTAATAAAAAATGTCAGACAATTTTATTTATAATCTTCTCTCCAATCCTCTTAATCCTAATGCTCAAACTAATCTTTAATATCCTCAATCAATCAGAACTTGAAGGGGGAAAATTAGTAAATTCTTGAAGATGTATTAGGTGTTCTATAGTAACCAATGATAAAAAGTTCCGTGGCATGGATTTATCACATTATAATATATTTCACGTGATCGATTACTGTTATCGGCGGCGACATGTACATTTTTTATGTATATTTTTTATTGTCATTTACATGTATTAAGATATATATGAATTTTAATTAGTGGAAATTTGACATTAGTGTTAACGTTAAATATTTTGTTTTCAAGGTAAATCCCAAAAAAATTCCGTCGAATATTATTTGTGGGTGAATGTACTTTTTAGCATTTTTAGTTTGTTACAATTGTGTTGAATTTATAGTGTCGTTGCACATAAGTATGAAATTTATTAATTATTAAAAGTATTCATAACAACTTGAATAAAAGTGAAAAGTTTTATTTTTAAAAATGACAGCCATCTTCCTCAACAAAAAATCAAAGAAAAAAATAAAAAGTTATGTATGAAATTCTTCAAACCCGCTGATGAAAATACTATGGGATGCAGAGAAGAAATACTGTAATCGAATATTTGTGACAAGAACCACGGTCAGCACAAGACAATATTATTCTTGACCTCTTTTATTTCGTGCACAAAAATAATAACGACGTGGCAGTTTGTATAATTCGAAAAAACTGCAAGAGGTCCGCTCAAGCCATTTTATGTTTAGACGAGATCGTATTAAACCCGCAATTTATTGAAACATGCAAGCAGCAAGACAGAACAATAATTTAGTTTTTATAAGGCTGTTCATGGAAGGCTTTTTTATTTGGGACTCTTTATTAGCTTCGAGAAGCTATAAAAGGCTTTTTTTAGATTATCTGACATGAAAAGAATACATGTATACAGTAATGTTGATTAGAATTTACAACTTTAATATTTTACTTTTAGAAGTACAAAAATTCGTGGTTTATTTTCAAATAATGCCAATTAGTGCAATATAATTGTAAGCTAAAAGCAAGCACACGTATATTATCGTTATATATGCTAAATATTACAGTCAAAACTCGATATAATGGTGACCCAAAACAATTCTAATAAAATTTCCTCGATATAATGTTTTTTTTATAAAAAATTACCGATATTTGCGGAATTTTTTACTAACGCTAATGTTCCCCATCATATCATTATATCGAGTTTTTATGTATACAAATTATTTATTTTGAATTACTAACGCTAAGCAAAAAAAATTTTGTATTAGACTACGTATGAATTTGTTTCATGTTCCATTATCGTTCCGAAACCAATAAGTTAAATAAAAAAGGCCACCATTAATAACCATAAACGTGTATGCGGAAACTAAAGCCCAAAGTGCTCCTCCCCAATTTGCGTCGATATTTTTATCATCGTCAACAACCGATTTGAAAAGCGAAACATCAACAATCAAGGCAATTGTTAAAAAGACAACTGAAAAGAAGCAAAAGTGTGTGACTTTAAGATAGTCATTGTTCAGAGGAGTTCCTCTTCTTATTACTTTTATAACCGAATATGAGACTATAATTACGGAAAGTGCGGCTTTGAAAATATGTATTTGGTTTCAAGTTAGAATTTAGGGTATCTTTCTTGCGAACGTAATTAAAAAAATAATTACCGAATATATTAAAGATTTTTAAATATCCCAATGTGGATTGTTCGTCAAGAAAATCCGCAGTCGAATTAGACGAAGTCGAATTTTGACTTTGAATTGGTTCTTTAATTATCAAGCATATTAATACATTCATCAAAAACCACAGAAAAATACACACAAAATTATTCTTACTGATTTGTGAGGCAAAAGGTGTTTGTGTACATTCTACTTCTTGTCTATGTCTACACCATCCCCAGAGACCAACTTTGTAATTGTAATCCGAAAAATTTATTTCAATAAAATATACACCTCGAGCTATTGGTTCACTGATATTTACAAGAAGAATACATATCAGTGAGCAAAGACATAGGATGGCACCAAATGCTTCTGGAAATAAAGGCATTTTAATTTTTATTAGACGATTATCGTTATATTTTATGATAAAGTACGTTTTCTCTTGATTCTGATTCACAATGTCTTGATTCTTTCATTCACATACAGAAACATACAGAAACCGAAACATAAAGACAACTCATCAGGCAATATGAATGCATAATGTATATACATGTATATAGCAGATCGGGAAAAAGTGTCGGGTCATGTGATTCCGATACCGATGCCGACCATCCGATATCCCCCTTAAATCATGCACCAATCAAAAACGAACGCTTACTTTTGAAAAATAACTTGTATCTTGAAATTTTACTTATTAAACAATCATTATATTCTAACAAAAAATGCTCCTTGCGAAAATTATACTCCTATCTGCTATATGCTAGATAATAACCTTAATATTATGTATTATAATTAAGATGGTATGTCGGATGGTATCGGAATCACATGACCCGACGCCATATAGTCGATTTCGGAACAAGTCGATTTTGATCGATCAAGATAGATTTCAGGATCGCGTGGATTGTAATTCAGCACTTTATATGTGTATTTATATACAATAATCTTCTATATGACACAAACAGCAAATTGTTTGTACACATTTTCTGTTAAAATAGCCTCTGTTTAGTGTTATCTAAAGCTTCTCATAAAACTGGCTTACAAGTCGGAATTTTTGTATAATTCAAATTTCAGTTTTTTATGGTATAATTTATTAATTATCGTTATATAATTCTATCTTTCATAAGGTAATTTATAACTTAGTTTCTATTTGATTTATATATTTACACATTCCTACAATAAATTACCAGAAATCCAAAAAAAGCATAATAAATGATAGTAAAAATTGAATTTTCTCTTTATAATAAAATTTATTTTTATTAAATATTTTTTGTTTTTATGTTAAAATAAAGCTGAGAATCTGTATTTTAACATATTCAATTTCAAGAATATTTCTAATTGTAAAGTTAATTACACAAACTTTTTATAATTAAATTTACGAAAAATATATATTGAAATACAAATTCTTAGTTTTATTTTAATATAAAAAAATATTTACCAATAAAAATAAAAAATTTTATTATAGTGAAATTTCAATTTTTACTATATTTTATTATTTTTTTTTGAATTTTTGGTAATTTATTATAGGAATATATTTATAAAAAATAAATTAGAAATAAAATAAGTTTAGTATAATTTTTTTAATAGATTAAATTTACTTGTATTATTAATAATATATTATACTATATTATAATATATTTTGATAGCAATTATTTATTAACTCAATATATTAATTATATTTTTAAATAATATATAATTATGTGCTAAAAGTTTTGTATAATTAAATATTTTTTATAATTTTATAGAATTTTTTTCAAAAAATAAAATTTCTGAAATTTTTTGATAACTTAATTTTTGTTTTTGATATTTATTAATAATTTTATAATTAAAATACTTTTTGTATTATATTTAAAAAATAACATGTTTTAAAAAGTTTTTTTAATTTTATTATTAATTAATATCAAATAAAATCAAGTTTAAATAACAGTAAAACATTTAACAAATATTTATAATTTTTTAAATTTTTATATATTATAAAATTTTATTATATATAAAAAATAAAATATAATTTAATATATATTAATTAACAAAATTATAAAATTATATATATAATTTTATAAATAAAATATAATAAAAATTAAAAATTTGTTTTATATAAAGATTTCAATTTTACTAATAAATATTTTTATTTTTATATCAAATTAAAATTATAAGTTATATTTTAAAATATAGTTTTAGTAAAAAAAATAAGAACTAAAACTTTTTTAATTGTAAAATTTTTATATATAAAATTAGAAAAAAATTTATTTTTAATAATATATTAATCACTATATATAAAAATTTTAATAATAAAATATATTAAAAGTTAAAATTTTTATTTTATAATTAATAAATATTTTTTGTTTTTATATCAAAATAAAGCTAAAAATCTATATTGTTACCGTTTTGAGCTTTTGCATATGAAAGTATTTCAAAATGACAATAGTGACTGTGTTCACAGTAATTTACTTTAGACTTTTTAATTGAAAGATGTTTATGACAATAAAATAATATTTCTTGACAAGATAAAAGATAATGAAAATAAGACTAAACTAATAACAAGACTAAACTAAAAGGTAAA